CCTTAAAAATATTAGCTTAAAATGCAGAAACCTTCTAACAGTTCAGCTAATGAAGATGTGAACACCAAACTGATTATGAAATACAAACTAGTTCTTTAACCAATGTGATCTGTAATTAAAATACTCTTTCTCTCCTGCCCTGGATAATAATAGGCCTAAGGTGGGCACTGTGGAGTCGGGGTTAAGCCAGTGCTTCTGACACCCTCATCCCACATCCATGTGGGTTCCAGCTCCAGTTACTCCACTTCTGATCCAGCTCCCAGCTAACGTGCCTGGGAAGCAGATGACGACTCAAGTGCTTCAATCCCTGACGTTCGTAAGGGGGACCCAGACTGAGTTCCTGGCTCCTGGCTTCGGCCTGTCTCAGCCCATGCTGTTGCAGCCACTGGGGACAAATGAAAACAAGCAGTATCTATCTCTATCTATCCCTCCCTCTCCCTCTCCTTCCCCCTCTCTGCCTCCCCCACCCTCCCTGTCACTCTGCCTTTCAAATAAGTAAATAATTATTTAAAAAAAAAAAAAAATCAAGCTTAACACTCAAGGTACACACATGCATAAAATTTCTACTTTTAATGTATTTCTCTATTATCCTGAGCCATATAATATTCATTATTAAGAATCAAAAGTATTTCCCTAAGAAATTTTAAAAATTTAAAAATTTTCTTAAATCATAAAAGATACATGTTTATGTATAAGGGTCCTTCAAATAGTTCATGGAAATGTGTGCTATGAAACTATTTGTGGATTTCAAAAAAATTTGGTAACAAAATAAACTTATCTTTTAATTACATTTTTCCAGAACTTTTTTGAAGAACCATTCCATAATATTTGAAAATGTATATGAATAAAGAAGCCAAACAAGTCTAGAAAACAAAAGGATTACAAAATACTAAATATTAGCAGCAAAAAATTTGGAAAAGTTTATTTGAAATGGTTCTTTGGGACAGAATAGGAGAGAATATGGGCTCCAAAGTCAGATGGCATGGGCTGGACTCCCCAGTCCCCTACTTCTGCCTCGTTAACTGATGAGTGAGGAAGACTCCTCTAGCCTGCAAAATCATTTAGTCTGGCCCTGCCAAGGCAACCGCAGCCCAGGCTCAAAATCCTGTAAATCTATATATGGCTGATTTTTAAGTTGATAATTTCATAGGTCCACAAATGATGCTACAAATACCCACATGGTCTGTGGCAGAAAAGAGGTTCCCTACCCCTATAATGTGTGATATCTCCAGGGCTCCAGTTTCCTCACCAGTATATGAAGATAATCAAATAACCTAACTCACAAGATTAACTCAAGGACTAAATGTGATTACTCATGTACAGCACTCAATAGTTCCTAGCAGACAATAGATGTTCGATAAATGCTAGCTGCCATAATTACTGCTGTCATCATCATCACCATCATCATCATCCTCAGAACCTGAGGAACAGTGTCTGTGACTGAGAGCCCATAATCACAAATGGATTTGTTTTTAGATATAGCATTTAACTTATTTTGTAACTTCAAGTAACATTCAAGAAGGATAGTAGATTTACATATTCCAATGGGTTAGACAAGGTTAAAAGGAGCTTAACTAGGAACAAAGATCTCTCATCTTCTCCGTGTTCCTACTGGAGAACTTCTAGCTTCAAATATTTGCATATGAACCCACAGTACTAATCCTACATTAACTCTTTTTAAGTTCGAAGTCACATCATGGAATGGATGTGCTGAGCAGGCTCATGTGGTTTAGAGCTATGGGATCTCTGACTACAAGTCTAGACAACAAACAACAGAGTGAAGTTCCTGAGAATTAACAAGCAACATAGAAGAAATTAAGCTCAGCCTCTATCCGTGTCCTATTATTTAACAACTATCTATCTAAACTCTCTCACCTCTACAAGGAAATAGTACCATCTTACAATATTATTATGAGGCTCAGAAATAATTTTATAAAGCGAGTACCCAGTCACCAGCAAAGACCAGGTGCTCAAGAGCAGCCTCTGAGTGGGTGCCCGCTCCCTTGTCCACTCTCAACACTCACACATGCAGAGAGTACAGAGCAGCCTCTGAGTGGGCGCCCGCTCCCTTGTCCGCTCTCAACACTCACACATGCAGAGAGTACAGGTGCTGGATCTTCTCAACCACAAACACTGAAACACAGATTTGAGTAGAGAATTTCCTTACAAGTATGGAGGAGCCACATTTAACACAGGAATTCCACTGTACACACCAGAGAACAGTGGTGGAGTGGGTAACATGGGAGACAAAGATGACAGCTGACATTTCACACAGGCAGCTCCAACTGCCAGTCTTGTCAATCATGCAGTGCCAGAGAGAGTGCTGGAAACACAACTCCACTGCACTCTCAACTGCTCTCATTCCCGCCACCTCATCCACTGTGAGCCCCTTGTCCCAGTAAGTGGGATCTAAGAAAATGCAGTCTTTGCACAACACAGCTTCTATATACAAGCCAACTACTTCATGTGGTCCTCAACCAGAACACAGCAATCTATCCCAACTCTAGAAGGAAATTGGCTCCTGGTCATGGCAGCACGACTAAACTTTATGAGCAAGCCAAGGAATTTCACAGGGTTCTGACTGAACAGTATTTTACCTTACAAAGGACCAACAACGTCCCATTAAGAGACAAGCCCATCAAACCCAGTTTCCTTCAGTTCTGATGTCAACAAGAAGGATGACAAGATCAAGAACATGGGAAAGTACCATTCCCAGCAGATGAAAGAGGCAAGTGCTTCCGCACTGATGGCTTGATTGCAAGCCAGGTTATCATCCCTTAACACACTACTTACAATTCCTACCATAAATCTTCTGCTATCATACTTAATATTCCCCTATTTTTCCTAAAGCCAAAAATAAAGAGACAAGAAAAAAAGTGGAGGTCTTTACACAGAAATATGACTAACTTTTAAATTATTTCTCTCGACTGAAAGCTTTTGTCCAAGTGGCGCTGACAAGCTGCAGAGAGAAGCAGCAACCCCAGAGGGTGGGATGACTTGTCCCTTCATCAGCCACGCTGCCAGAATTCCTGCTGCCCCCCCTTCAGGAACACACACTGGGCAACGGCTGGCACAGGGCAATCCTCTCTTCTCCTCTACACCTGCAATGTTCCGTCTCACCAGAGATGTTTCCTGGCTCTAACCTGGACTGTATCAACCTACCCTCTCCAAGGGTATTATACATGCTGAGGTCCTGCAGAAAACAGAATTACTGCTCACTTCTTTTAATTTCCTCCTCTAGGAAAATCCTTCTCTGAGTACTCTATAATGTATCTAACACAGTAGTAAAGTGGAACGTGTAAATCACTTAGAGGCAAACAAATATGCAGAAGTAGACGACTATGCTCCGAAGGTCCAAAAAAGTCTTGAAGCCACTGATCTAATCTCCAGTTAAACTTCCAGCATTTCCACATCCAGTTTTGTAAGACTTTTAAAGGCAATGATTTTGATTTATTAACCAATTCCCCATTTCAAATATAATTCATAATCATAATTAAAATAAGCTACCAATTTCATATAAAATAGAATACTGAAAAACTACACACCTATTATGTGTTTTGTTACAATTTATAAATAAACTGGAGCTAATGTACTATAATATAGTATCAAATCTACAATTCAGGGAATACTAAGAAACATACTGACTTTCCAAACAATTGATAACCTAATGATGAACAACTGGATGGCTTCCAAATTAACTACTTTGTTGACAGAGTAACAACTATGATCAAGAATAACTTTCAGCAAATTCATTTTGTTTTCATTTTTGAAACAGTTAATAAATAGCTGGTTAAAACAACAGAGCTCTAAGCTAATGTTTGTCTAAGCTAGAGCAGTCTGAGGAGAAAATATAATTTTCGCAAATAATCAAAATTTAAAACTTGTTGTGACAAGTAACAAAGCTTTAAGATTCTAGTATTTAAATCTGTAACCAGTGATAAGTAAAAAGACTTTCACCTTTATAACCTCCCACAATTCAAAACAAAACCTTCTGTGTCAAGTTGATGCAAAATCACCTCAAAAATGAGCCTGAATGGGTGACGTTTTCTTCTGTAGCTTACCAAAACTGGGGAGCCAGTAAGTACCCAGTACTACACTTAACCCAACTTGGAAGTAAACGATGAACTACAAACACAAATGGACTTAACCCAACTTAGCAAAACCAGGAACTCCAAACATTCGAATTAAAGGAATGTAATTCCCAAATGGACATACAAGTATATCCAACCCTCATAACCACACTAAATGAACATTACCCTGAACTGAAATGAACACATACCCAATTCCTAACCACCACACTGACAGTTATTACCCTAAACTGAAATATTCAGATTGCAAAATAAAAATGAGAAGGCAATCCACTCCTAACATCAAAACATCCCCCCAGATTAAAATTTACCAAAAAAAGCAACATTACCCAAAAAGACAAATGTGCATTCTTCCTGTATCGTCAATCTACCTTCCAACTGGATGCCAAATGTACACTCAATAACACAGCCTGCATTCTTAATTAAAACCCCACTCATTAAGGTAAACCAGTTACTCTCCAAGGAAATCTTCATCATAGAGAACTAACCTGTTCCTACTAAGTCTAGCCTTCCCAACTCCACGGAAACTTCACGGCGTCACACACTTCTGCAGAGGTCTGGGGGCTGCGTATCTGTTATACTCATGACAACACAAGAACTAATGTTTAACTGAGAGGCAGGCAGTGTTAACCACCAAACGCAAGACACCAAAAAAAGAAAAACAGTTAAAACTTATGCTACCCTAGTTAAACTCAGTGAGCACATTTTCTGTTTTTCAACACAAGCCAAGCACATTAGAGAAAGATCAAGAAACATGTGGGTTTCTGTCAAATTCAGATTAAATATTCTTCTCATTTACAACTTCCTAGTTCAATATTTTGAATATAAAACTAATATAAAGTACTGCTATGCAAAATAACCTAACATATTTGCCCTTAAAAATGATATCCTTAAAAACAAAAATGTATCTACCTCATTAGTGTTCCAACGGTGCCTCTCTTTTGGTAAACTTGAACATTTCGGCAGACATTCAAGCAGCTTTTTCGGTAAAAAGATTTTTACATGACTACTATTGCTGTTCCCATGATCATCTATAAAGAAGAAAACAGTAAATTCAGAGAAAACAGCACAGGCAAACATCCTATTAAGCACACTGGCAAGGTCAGAGCCAGCAGCTCGGCATGGTCACTGTGAGACCAAGAGCAGCAGAAGGCCCAACTACTCCTTATCAGCAACACCATTTACACAGCTCAGATAGATGGCAGCAGAAACTGGGCAACAGGCTCTACCACAGGAGTGAGGTTTTGCTCCATCACACGCAAGTGAACAGCGACCACCCCAGCAGCTGCCCATAGTCAGAGTATAACTCTTAGAGGTTCTTTCCCCACATTTCCGTGAAGCACATCAAAACTGCAAAATGATTTAGCCTCAAAAAATCCAGAAATCTTTCATTAACCAGTTGAGAAAGTTTTAGGTTTTCTAGGTAAGAATTACAGCAATATGTGACTATTTTATTCATAAGCTAATACTACTTCATCTTTCAGAATACAAATAAGATTTATACTTTAAAAACAAATCGCATATCTTACAAATATAAGGAATTTAAGCCTATAGTTAGTTACCAGGTAATACAGAAGCTGGCCTTTCTAGCTGGAATTTTAAAACATATAATTTTAACTGACCTGATTTACATAAGCATAGCTATGTAATTAATGTATTTTTAAAATGTAATTCTAAATGAGTATAAGAAAAATCAATTCCTTCCAGTCTATACAGTATATCCCACTACCTGATAATCATTCTACATGATGATTTCTATAAGAGATAATTTCCTTTATGTAACATTTACTTATTTACATTAACAAGTATCATTTCTCTTCTATAATACAGTACTTTTGCCTGGCTCAAAATTTCTTGTCAGTTTTGGCAAATTTGGATCAAGGTTTCAAATTACTCCAACTTTTTTTACATGCTAAATGAAATCACCAATATCCCAAGGATCTGATGCATAACTGGCACCCTGGGAGAAATGCATTCAACAGTGAGGCCTGAGCTTACTCCAGGAAGTCCTCCAGGAAGTACTCCAGTAAGACTTGAAAGAACTCTTTCTCTTATTAAAAGGTATAATAAAAATACCAAACTCAAAGTCAAGAGTCCAAGACTTTGGCCCAGTTCTGCTACTTGCTAATTGTGTGACCTTGGGTAAGTTACTTAATACTTTCAGTTTTCCCAAATCATCAGATAATTAGAAAAAAAATCTCATTTTTTCTCAGGCACAAATCTGTAAAATTTACTATCACCCCATAACTTAATATATCATAATTAATAACCTTCCATAGCTATATTCAGGCATCAGTCAACGTAAAAAGTGAAAAATGGACAAGCGCTGTGGCACAGCGGGTTAAAGCCCTGGCCTGCAACACCGGCATCCCATGTGGGCACCAGTTCGCGTCCCAGCTGCTCCACTTCCAACCCAGCTCCCTGCTAATGCACCTGTGAAAGCAGCGGAGGATGGCCCAAGTGCTTGGGCCCCTGTACCCACAGGGAAGACCCAGAGGAAGCCCCTGGCTCCTGGCTTTGGATCAGCTCAGCTTTGGCCACTGCAGCCTTTTGGGGAGTGAACCAGCAGATGGAAGACCTCTTTCTCTGTCTCTACCTCTCTCTGTAACGCTGTCTTTCAAATAAATAAAATAAATATTTTTTTAAAAAGCGAAAAACAATATATCATATTTATATACCTTTCCAATTTATTTGTGGTAACTTCATATAGCATAGTTTACTTTTGGAAGATGTGAAAAAAAAAGAACAAAAAAATATTTTCTAGGATCACAAAACCCTCTCCAAACATTTTTCATTCAATTATCACATTTCTCCTCAAAGAAACGATCTTAAAAGGAAAATACTAGGCATAGAAATAAAGTCTGAAACAATTTATTGCATCTTATAGAAATATTTTATAGGGATGAACTTAACAGAGTTTTAGCACACTGAATCTTTTTTGGTCTATGAACTATATAACCAAATGAATTATAATACCCATCCTATATTTCCATAAGCAGTAGAAAAACTTGAAAAACTTAAAACTGACTGCTATTTTAAGAATCTAAAATTTTAATAGCAGAATAAGATTAAACTTTTTAAAATCTTGCTATGAAACCAAAAGGAGATCTCTCAACTAAGAAAGTTCACAGAAAGTTCTGGATCAATTACATACTCTAAAATCTTGGTCATTTTATGTGCTTACGCATGCTCCATGCACTGCATCCTCCCGAGGGAGGTACCATGGGCCATAAAACTTGAAAGCACAGACACCAAACCACAGAGCCTTTCCCTCCCTCTCTCCTCCCCTACAGTGGTTTCACTCTCATTTTTTAAAATCTCTCATAATTGTGAAAATAGAGGTGAAATTCCAAAATCTATATTCAATTCAGATATTCAACATTTACAGGGCACCTTTTATGAAAATAGCACTATGCTAGGTGCTCAATTAAAAGACTTACTCTGAACTCTTCATGAGCAGTCCTATCTCTGAGACAGCTGTTTGTTTAAAGTTTAATTCTGAATCCAAATGAACAGATTAAACCCCAGTCCCTATGTGATCACATCCTGATGGTAATTTTCTATTCTTTCAGCCTGATAAGGAACTTAGCTGCCAGGTGGTATACAGTGCACACGGTGTGTGCAGGCGTGTGTGCGGAGGACTGTTCTGAATACAAGTCAACGCTCTAGAAAAAGCTTAGGTCTTCCACTCCAATACCAACTCAGGCAGTGGTAAGTCTGCCCAAAGGCTTTTAAAGAGAAAAAGGAGAACCGCTGTGTAAGCACTGTCGCAATCAAGTTTCTAAATATAGCATTTTATGGAGATGTGCAGCCATGGGTTAAAAAGGACCAGGAAGTATGACAGGCCGATGGGTTCCCCTTAATCAGTTTTTAAACTGTGCCATTTCCAGAATTTTAGCTTCATGCTGAATATAAACTGGATGTTTTTAAGAAACATATAATGGGAAAATTTTCCTACTGTGCATTATAAATATAGCAATTTTAATACTGGGAAAAGAATTATTAGGAACTCAAACTCACAAAATGTTAAAACTCATTTTCAAATTTCAGCTTTTCCAGTTAAAGTGTGATAAAGAGTAATTTCGCGTTTATACTAGAAAAGATCTAATCACATGGCTACACTACATAAAAATGTGCTTTTTTAAACTGCTTTGTAATATTTTTAGAGTATCTACTGATGATGAAATAATTAAACATATATGCCAGCTTTTAAATCTTAGTAACAATATTGTGAGTTAACTCTAAAATTAAGGTACACAGGTTTCAACCACAGCTCAAGATTCAACTCAAATAGTTAAAACTCTGATACTGCAAAATTAGAGTGTAGACCAAATGACAGCAAAATAGTCCATTATCATCATTTAGCAAAATATGCATGTATGACATACAACTTTACAAAATAATATTCTAGCCTATTTCCCAATAAAAAAAATAATTAATGAAGCTCTTGAAACTGACTGATGACGTGCTTGGCTGGCAGCTGGAATTCTAGAGAATGAACCAACCGTCAAATATTTTCCAAATGATAATTTTAAAGTCACAGTATAATTTAGGTAAAGCTTTCTAAACTGTACAAAAATGCTCACTCACTTACTTAACTAAGCAAAACACAGAATTATTGTTTTCACGATTGTTTCTAAAAACTGAGATTCACATAGCTAAATCCTTTATTTAAATCCAAAGAAATGTACTTGATCTTTTCCTTAGAGCAAGCTGTAACTTCTGTAAGGTAAATTATAACTGTATTAACTCTAACCTAGAAATGATACATCCATTTTATTTTGATTCATAATATAAATTAATTTTGGTCCTATGAATAATGACTAACGCTGCTATTCAATGAAGTTGATTATGATTAATCTCAACTCTATACTGAACTGTTCAAAGTTAGCTGGTGTAACAGTATGTCAAACTGCTAAATATTATTGGGCATACATTTGATCAACAACTTAGAATGATAAAATTAAAAGAAAGCTCTACAATTTTCTGTTTAGCTCTAATTATTATGTGCTTAGATTTAATCAGTAAGATGGGAACTGATTCAAGAAAACATAGGCACAAACTGTTACACTCAAGGCTCGCAGCAGCAGACTCCCGTTACTAACCTGAGACCTTCTGATCACCACTCACCAAAGTAACTATCAGGTACCATCATGTGCCAAGCACTGATCTGATTTTATATTGCTTCCCAAAGTCTCCAAAATGAATTAAACTCAGCTGTACTTCTCTAAAAGATTTTTAAAAGACAAAAAGTTCTTAAGCAAAAAAAAAAAAAAAAAAAAAAGGCAAGTTTTGCTATGTAACAACACTTGCCTCTTAGAGTTGTATGAATCACATCTTATCTCTCCTACTTTTTAAGCTGTCCAGATTTACCCTTTTCCTTTCAATCAATCCCCAATCTCTGGTCCAGGTTTAGGTTGACCCTTAATTCAGGTTCAATTAACTTCTTACTATTTATCTGCACTTTTATTTTCAATCTAGAAATATAAGGGTGGAGACAAGTAAGACAGTGGCAAGGAAGCCCTGCAACCACTGCTTCAACGTGGGCTCTGGGACACCCTCTACTGCATTGTTTCATTCAATTACAACTTGAGCTATGTGTGATCAAGTAAATCCAGTTTCCATTATTTATGAGAGGGTAAACATCTGTGGGACTCTACTACACATTAGGCACTCAAAGGATTTCACATTGCACTCATTTAATCCTCACAATAAAACACAAGGGTTTAGTCACCCTCATTTTACAGATCAGGAGCTTGAGGTTCAGATTAATTTGTCCAAAATCCACAACTACCAAGTGCTCAACTGGGATTCAAACATGAGCTGTGGCTCTTCCCATAATGCCACACTACTCCTACGCTAACTCACCTACTGGACAACAGAATTACAGAAACATTCTATTAATTAAAATCTAACATTTGCAGAAAGCTGTGAATTTTCCATGCGATAAATCCATAGTCCTTTTTAATCCTCAAATGAAGTTTGTGAGGAAAGTGTTCTTTCTGCTGCCCTAGGATTAAGTAACTCATCTAAGATCACACAGCAGTTAAGAGGCAGAACCCAGGTCTTCTAAGTGCTGGCCGAAGGCTGTTCCCACTGCACTAGGATGATGGAAGTACTCTCACTGCCAAGCCCACCCCTTCCTGTAAGTCAAAAGCTTTTTCAAATCCTACCTTCTATAGGTGGCACGGTGTTGAGAACACAGTAGGTGCTAGTTCCGCAGAATACACTTTGGGAAACGCTCTAAGGAAACAGAAAATAAAATGTAAAACTAATCTTTGAAAAAGATATATTCTGGCTCTTCTGTGAAATTCCTGCCAAAGATGCAAAACCTGAATCTAATCATGAGGAAACATCAGACAAATCCAAATTGAGGCACATTCCACAAAACAACTGGTCTGCAATCTTCAAGAGTATCAAGGTCACAAAAGTCAAAAAGGATTGAGCACTGTTCTGTATGAATGGAGACTGAAGAGACAACAGTACGTGACCCAAAGTTCATATTGGACATTTTTCTACGAAGGTCACTGCTGGGTCAACTGGAAAAACTGGAATAGGATTTGACAATTAGCTAGTAGAAATGCCTCGATAATTTCCTGATTTTGATTACTGTTTTCATTTTATGATTATGGAGAATGTTCTTTTTCATAGGAAATACATAATAAAGTAGTTAAGAGTGAGGGAACATCACATTGCAACAAATTTACAAATGATTCTGGAGAAATAAAGTTCTTCACACTGTAGGCCTAAGACTGTTTCAAAATTTGAGGGGTGTGTGTATGTGTGTGAGAGTAAAATCTATGCTGGTGAACATGTATTACTCATAAAGTTTTTCATGGAAGTACATGTGTTATAACGGTAAATTTTGCTATGAACCAATGTCATATTCATTTTACAGTTCAGTCAATGCCAACAACATTATTAATCATTTCATGGCAATAAGTCCAACACACAACTCATTCAAAACAATCTTCCGAGTGCCGACTGGCAATGCGGCAGTTAAGTCAGGGAAAATCAGAATGTAAAGTATCTGCCCTCAGATGCTTCAACTCAGAAAAAACTAAAAGTTTCAGATAAAAACCTGTACAATGTAACTTTAAGAGAAGAAGGAAAATCCCTTTGAATCTTGCCAGCCAACTATTTTCAGTTCTATGAATAACTTTTTTGTTTGGTTTTAGTATTCAATAAAATTTTAGATTTCACATTATAAACCACACATTTATATACTTAGAAAACCAGACAGTTTACAAGTTCAACCACCACCCTCAGAGTTTTATATTTAAAATATAAAGAGCTCAGTTCTACCATCTACTAGCTGTCCTTGGGAAAGCCACTGGGTATTATCTCATCAGAAAGAAGATTCTCATGCCTAACTGGTAGGTGGAGGATCAAATGGGATAATACATATTAAAGCACTTTGAATCCAAAAGTACCAGCAAACATAAAACACTATTGTTACTATGGTTAGGAAGGATAATCTCTGGTGCAGGCATTTGGTACAGCAGTTAAAATGACAACATCCCATACCCAAGTACCTGGGTTCCAGTCCCACCTCCACTTCCGACTTGTTAATGTACGTCCTAGGAGGCAGCAGCGATGGCTGGAGCACTGAGGCTCCCGCCACCCCTGTGGGAGAGTACCTACTGATTGCCTTCGGGCTGGCCTGGCCCTGCCAGTTGTAGGTATTCCAACAGACAAAGACCTCTCCCCCCATACAATGTGATCCCTAGCTACCAGGAGAACCATCAGCTCCTTAATCCTTTGCTATTTCTGAAAAAGTCTTGTTCTAGGACTTCTACTGGCACACTCTTTGATCTAATCAACAGTGCCTGTGGTGGCGTCTGTGTAACTTCCAGTCAAGGATTATCTCTGTAAACTATGGACAAACCTCAGAATTCACATAACCTCTGAAAGAGTCGATATTAGTTTCCACCCATGACTCTGGGCCCAGGATTATGATGTCTTATGATAAGCAGGTGACATGACATCGGCAGTATCATCCTCTCACTAACATCTGCAAAGCCACCAGCAACAATCCACTAACCACACAAATGCAACATTCCACCCTAATACAGTTTCTGAGTTGAAACATAAAGCTGTGTGGTGTTAAAAAGAATGCCTTACATTTAAGGTTTAAAATACTATTAGTAAAAAGTATAAGATACCACTTTTCAACCATCGTAACAATGGTCATAGATCAAAAGTTTAAAAAGCACTAAAGAGAACATACTAATGAATGGCTTCACAAATAAGGACTTCCACATCCAACTGCGAAGACTGATGATAATTAGTGGGAAAATATACCAAATAACAAATAGGAAGAATTAAAAGCACCAAAATAACACACATAACACAAACATGGACAAAAACCTTCTCAGCAGCACTGGCATAATAAAGTCTTAATAATCAGTTTAAGAAAGAAACTCAGGAAAGTTGAGAGTGAAACCCGTAAGTCACGGTTAATAACTGAGTTTCCCAGGGCAGGCTTTCTGAACAGTGGTTAAGTCACTGCCTGGGACACCAGCATGCCGTACAGGAGTCCCGGCCTCTGCTTCCAAAGCAGTGCCTGCTCCTGTGCGCCCTGGGAGGCTGGAGAAGACGACCCAAGTACCTGAATCTCTGCCACCCATGTGGAAGATCCAGAATGGGTTCTAGGCTTTTGGTGGGAGATCTAGAATGAGTTCTAGGCTCTTGGCTTCTGCCTGGCCCAGTTCCAGCTGTTACAAACATTGGGGAAATGAACTAGTTGATAGTAGATCTCTCTCTCTCTCTCTCTCTCTCTCTCTCTCTCTGAGATGCTCTTTCAAATAAAGCTTTAAAAAAAGAAAAAAACTTCAAGGTTCTCAAAGCAAGCAAGTAAGCCAAACATAAAACAACTTAATAAGAAATGGCTAACCGTGGGTGCAGGGATTCAGCCTAGCAGTTAAGAAGACCCCAATCAAGATGCCAGTGTCCACACTGAAGAACCTGGGTTACAATCCCAACTCTGGCTTCCCACAGCTGCTTCCCTGCTAATACACACCCTAAGAAGCAGCAGTGGATGACTCAAGTAACCAGGTTCCTCCTGGATTGCATACCCGGCTCTGCACAGCCCCGTCTGTTGTGGCCACTTGGGGAATGAAACAGCAAAGCTCTCTTTTCTGCCTCTTTCTCTGCATCTCAAATTAGTCATTAATGTCTACCGTGAATTAGATGCCCCTGTATGAGACACTGAGTGAACATTCACGGCCCTTGTGTTGTCCCATCCTATCTCTAGACGTCTGTAACACTGAGGGACTACACAAAGTGGAAAGGACGGCACTACGCATGTGCAGGGCTAGAGCCAGCTGCCACCCATTCCACCTGCCACTGCGAGAAGTCTGCGCAAATGACTCAGCACAACAGAGCAGACGGAACCGCCAGGTCGGGTGGATCAGCAGCAGGTCTTCGCGCTCATCTCCCAGGCTGCCTTCTTCTAGACTCAGACTCAGACCTCCGGTCCCTCTGGAAGCTTCCTGCCCTCGGGGTTAGGCAGCCCTGCTGGAGCCTACAAAGCAGTCTGTGTTTCCCTCTCACTTCTAGAAAAATTCCTCTTGACTGTAACCCTTCTGATAGTTCTACAAACACAAAGAGGAGCACCTATCATGCGCTACTGTCAAGGAGCATGAGCACCACAGGGAACAAGACAGAGCAGGGGTCTGCCTTCTGGAGGGATATTCTAGTGCAAGCGGATGAATTCCTTGTTGACTAAGAAAGTACGCCTGTCTGTTAATACATTCTATAATACAAAAATAACACAGCAAGACAATGAAAAGAAACCACAGGGACAGTTAATTAAGGACAGTATAGTGCCCAGTGTTTGCTAGAAGCTCCCAAGAGGGGAAATGCTGAGCTCCGTAAGATACATTCCCTGCTTTCAAAATGCAAGCTGTCAGGGCCAGAGCTGTGGCTCAACGGATTAAGCCACCACCTGTAGTGCTTGCAACCAATACAGGCACCAGCTCACGTCCCCGCCGCTCCACTTCTTTTGCAGCTCCTTGCTAACGTGCCTGGGGAAGCAGCAGAAGATGGCCCAAGTGCTTGGTCCCTGGACCCACATGGGAGACCCAGATGAAGCTCCTAGCTCCTGGCGTCGGCCTGGCCCAGCCAAGGCCGTTATGGCCATTTGGGTAATGATCCAGCAGTTGGAAGGTCTCTTTTCTCTCTCTCCCTAACTCTGTCTTTAAAATAAATAAATGTCTTTTAAAAAAAAAAAAAAAAGCAAGCTGTCTAGCTGAGGAGATAATACTAAAAAAAGATGTAATGAAAAACTAGCACATGATTTAGGAAAGGTAGATGGCAGCAGTGTGGAAACGCAGTGGCCCGCTGTGCTCCTTCTTTGCAGGCGAGGATACGCTTTGTTCATCCTGTCCTCTCCAGAGACCTAGGTCAGGGTGTTGCAGGCACCTTCACAATCCACGTCTCAGCTCTTGGATGATGGGGAAAATGGCATACACATGAGAAGTAACTGCAGGCTTTGGAACAGAGAAGTTTGATGAAAATGGTATTTACAGTTCTTTGAAATAAGAACTGAGAAGGTTTAAGTCTCCATAGAGTACTTTTAAAGCTAACTGAGGATCCACATAGCATATTAAATCAAAATGGAGAAAGGCCACAGTGAGTGCAATAAACTACTGTACCCATTAAAAGTGGTACATTAAAAATTTTTGTCACTTTATCAAGACTTAAAAAGATTCTAAAAAATTCATTGGTCTTGCATCCAACATTACTTACAGATAATCAAAATTCAAGCAGAGTCTGAAATTCTTAGCGTTTTCCTAACCTCACCAGTTTTCTAGGCACGGCTAGATCAGTTAGGCAGGCTAAGTCTTAGGACAAACTACAAAATGACTCAAATACTGTCAGTATTTACTTCTTGCTGGTATAAAGTCCAGAGCAGGGGTGCCTGATCAGCAGACCACGCACCTCCGAGCAGTGGCTCTGGCACTGACCTCCTCTCACAGGAGGATCGCGAGGCTCCTCTGCACCCCAAGGTCCAGGGCCTGGCTGGAAGTGGCCTCTGCTCTTGCTCCGTTGGCTAGAACTGGAGCAAGGGAAACAAAAGCCCAGGAAGAAGAGGTAGATTTTGTGATCGTCAAGAGGCTCCGCCACAACACCACCTGTAAACTGTTTTATAATTTCAGAAAAGTCACTCTTTTCAAAACTGTCTTTTTCTGCTAACCTACAGCTCCACCTTTGCCTCCTAAGGCCATTCAGCATCTAAA